AACCCTGACACCCCCTCCCCCCGTGCAAAGCGGCTGGGCAGGGCCGGGCACCTACCAGGAGCCTCTCGCTCTCCTTGGCCCAGTCAGATTCCAGGCCCCGGAGCGCGTCTCTCTCCTCCCACAGATGCTGCAGGCGGCTCAGGATTTGCTCCTGCAAACACAGACAGCGGCGCTGGGGGCTGCTTGGGGCCACTGGCTCCTGCCCAGGGAGAACAGCACCACGAAGCAGTGAGGCTGGGGAAGCAGGTCCCCCCTCTCCAGCCCACGGTAACTCCCCAGCAGCGCTGCTGGGCCTGGCCCAGCACCCATGTGGCTGGGACCTGCTCTCAGGCAGGCCCCTGGCTCTATACAGGGCAGGGCAGACATATGCAGGGGGCTCTGCACTGCAGAGAAACTGCCCCTGTAACTCCCCACCCTACAGAGCCTGGTCCCTACCTTGTACTCCTGGGCAGCCTCCTCGATGGGCACCACCGTGTGTGCACGGTGCTCCCGGGACCTGTCACACACCACACAGATGGGGGCCTGATCCTCCTGGCAGAAGAGTTTCAGGGCCTCCTGGTGCTTCTCACACCCTGGCTGCCCCTCGGGCACTGGCCCTACTGGGAGCCGCAGGCGTTTCACCAGGTCCACCAGGTTCCCCAGCTGGTAGCTGGGCCGCAGGTGTCTCTGCAGGACGGTCTCTCTGCACTGGGGGCAGGAGAAGTTGGGCTCCTACTCCCCCCAGCACCAGCTGAGGCAGGCCTGACAGAAGTTGTGTCCACACTTGATGGTCACCAGGTCTGTGAAATACTCCAGGTAGATAGGACACGTTGCCTCGTCCTGGAAGCTCCCAGCCTTGCCTGTTTAAAAGTCTCAGAGGGAGCCATGTTAGTCTGTAACTAAAAGAAACTTAAACATCAAGTTTTCATGGGCACCACCCACTGCTCCATGTTTGTCATCTGAGGCAGTGGGTTGTGCCAAGAAAGCTCATGACACTCTCCAGACTTTTTGCTAGTCTCTCAGATGCTACAGGGCCAAGGGTTTCTTAAGGCACCCAGAAGCCAGCGTTGCTCCCGTTTATAGGTGTAGGCAGGAGCTGAAGGACTGTGTCCCTTACAGTGAGCGGGGACTGGGGAGGAGCCCTGTGGTGTCTATGCAGATAGTTTGCTTCTGCTTTGCTTGGGTGTGTTAACTGTCTGGCGGATACACTGGGGTTTTGCTCAGTGTCATCAACAGGCTGGTCCCACGGCCATTGTCATTTACTGAGCAAAAATCCTCTCAGGTTTGGGGGTTTCCTCACAGCTTTTAATTGCAGCATCATCCCCTTTCTGGAAGGGAGCTGTTGCCCTGAATCATGCTCTTTGTTGGGGGGGGGGAGGAGGAAGAGCTAAAGGGTAGATGGATTAAACCCCTCCCCCCATTTATCCTTCATGTTTCACCATCAAATTCTGTTCCCTTTTGTACCCAAAAAAAGCAGGGTGTTGCTGAGGCATGTGACTCACCCCATCATCAATGATCATCAGAGCCAGGACCCATTTGGGGACCAGTGTCTCCCAGCTGCTAAGGCAGGGCTGCCCCCCCCCCCACAC